ACAAAACAGGACCAAAAAAACTAAAATAAAAAACAGAGAATGACACTTTCACTTTATTGTATATCATCAGTATTCATATGATATAGTACAGTGAACACATGACTAAAGCCTTCACAAATACAACAACACAAGCTAAAGGCAAAATCACCCATAATCCTCCTCCTCCAGCACCACCTAGTACTGCTACTAATCGTTTTTTCTATTCAGCTATAGGAGCTAATAGCTTCAGCATTTAGTAATAATCAATCAATTTTCTGCCGCAGAAATCACTGTGTTGTCCACTGTGTTAAAGAAGAGAAGAAGTGTGTAGCTGGAGCTCTAGTTAAGTTTTATTTTTTTTGGCATTCCAAGGGCTTGAGAGAGTAAAGAAAACGACCCAGCTGAAGATTTTTTTCAGATCTCTTGCTTAACTGGTAAAATTCTGCTTTCTTGATTTGTTTGTTGTTCTGTAATGTGGTTGTCGTTTTTTTTTTTGGGTTTTTTAGTCTCTCTGTTATTCTTAGCATTTTTGTGTCTATGTTCTGGAAAAAAAAAAGATTCCCAGTAATTTATAGTGGCCATATTGAATTCTTTATCACCCATAACTGAAGCTAGATCTGCCCATGGTTCTTTCTTGTATATTTCCATGTTGGTGAGTGTTAAAAAAAATAGTGAAATGTGATGGGGGTGTGAAGTGGGGGGGGGGGGGTTTCTTAGAAGTTGATTGTCACTCACTTTGGGATTAAAGGTTTTATATTCAGAGCTTGTTGAGGGTTATTTCATACTGTTATTAATGGAACTTGTGGAAATTATGGAATGTTGAGGTGATTGTAAAAATAATATTTGCCTAATTGGGTGTTTTTGTATTACATCATGCATGTCTCTTTATAAAGTTCCTTTGTTACTTACCATATCTGAAGATCTTATAGTGACTAATTGAGATTGTGTTGGTGAAAAATAACCTTTTGTTATAGTGACTGTTTAATGAGATGTTAGTTTCTTTGATGTGTTTGCATACTTGTCATCAAAATGGTCTTAGTATACTTGATTAGTGGTATAGTAAAGTGTGGGGAGGCGGTACTGATTTTTTGCGTTTCTGCAGAGTTTTCTTCTGGGGATGTACTTGTGATGATACATATAGTATTTGGAGATGGAAAGGATACCTGAAGTTAGAGAATCAACTAGGCAGTTTCCTATAGGGGCTAAGGTGGCTCATACTTTCTCAACCTCCAAGAAGGAGGTCGGTATTAGAGGCTTTCGAGATTTTGACTTGGCTATTCCAATACAAACATGGAAAGGAAAGACCTCCTATCAGGAGGAAGAAGACCTGATGGTCGATGCTGGTACAATCAAGCGTAGTGATGATTCACTTGAAGATAGTGGCTCTACATCATTTCATGGGGCGAGTCATCCTCCGGAACCTGTTGATACAGACCTAATGAGACCAGTGTATGTACCAATTGGTCAAAACAAAGCAGATGGGAAATGTCTGGTGAAAAACGTATCTTTGAAGGGTCCTTTCTTGGACGATCTTTCAATCCGGATGCCAAATGTGAAACCAAGCCCATCCCTTCTTTCACCGGCAGAGAGCTTGGTTGAAGAGCCAAATGATCTAGGTGTAATCTCCTCTCCATTTACAGTTCCTCGTCCTTCTCAAAACACAGAAACCAGTCTGCCTCCTGATTCCGAAGAGAAAGAATGTATTTGGGATGCATCACTGCCTCCAAGCGGAAATGTGAGTCCACTTAGTAGCATTGATAGTACTGGTGTTGTGAGATCTATGAGTATTGTCAACAGTTGCACAAGCACGTACAGGAGTGATGTGCTTATGAGTGATGGCATGCTTAGTGTGGACAGAAACTATGAGAGCACGAAAGGGAGCATTCGAGGGGATTCACTCGAAAGTGGTAAAACTAGCCTTAGCAGAGCAAGTGACAGTAGTGGACTTAGTGATGATAGTAATTGGAGTAACATCACTGGCAGTGCCAATAAGCCTCACAAAGGAAATGATCCTAGATGGAAGGCTATTCTCGCAATTCGGGCACGTGATGGTATATTAGGCATGAGCCACTTTAAGTTACTCAAAAGACTTGGTTGTGGAGACATTGGAAGTGTTTATCTTTCTGAGCTTAGCGGGACTCGCTGCTATTTTGCAATGAAAGTGATGGATAAGGCATCACTTGCAAGCAGGAAGAAATTGACGCGTGCTCAGACAGAAAGAGAAATCCTACAGTTATTAGACCATCCATTCTTGCCAACATTGTACACTCATTTTGAGACCGATCGCTTCTCATGTTTGGTCATGGAATATTGTCCTGGAGGAGATCTGCATACTCTACGACAGCGACAACCTGGGAAGCATTTTTCAGAATATGCTGCAAGGTATGGAATTGTTATCCTTATCTAGAGTATACAACAGGTATATATTAAGCAAAGAAAAACAGGTAGATAATCCTTCTTATAAAAGGCTTTCACATGTAGTCCTAACATAAGCACAATAAACCTCTGGTCACTTTAACATTCCTTAATCCTTATATGGTATTAACTCTCTTTTTCCTAAGTGAATTCTTTATCTGCCACTAAATGCACCTTTACTGGCTTACAAAGGGCTATTTCTTTTCCCTTTCCTCTTTTTCTTGAGTGGGTTGGTGTTGGCGGATAGAGGGTGTATTGGTGGAAGGAGATGATTTTTGCCACAATGAATGTCACCCCTTTTCACGTATCCAAAAAAACAAAAAGATCGTTTCCAATTTTTGCGTACTGGCAAATAGAGAATGTCGAATATCTGATAAAATCCTTGAACTATGTTTTACAAGAGAAGTTATGTTGAAGCAGTGATTTAAGCTTCCAAAGAGCTCAGATTGTTCACTGTCTTTTCTGTACTAGGTATAAATTTTGTCCCTGTTGTGTCCCTGCCTGTTTTTTTTCTTCAAATCTGGTGTAAGAATGTTAGAGCTTGCCTAGCTTGACATCTAAGTATGTGTCATTAGATTATATCCTTTATCATTATCATCTCTAGTTCATGTTACTTGATATTTGTATTCGAAAGCTGAATAGACTTCATTTTGATCTCCCTAAAATAAAGAGACTATTCTAGTTCGCTCTGGTGTGAGGATCATAGAACTTTAGTTTCTAGATTGGCACTAAAAAAAGTTCAGAATTTTTTGCATTTATGTTTAAATTTTGAGTTCTTTAATCAAACTTTAACTAACCCCCCGGTTTCTGCCACAGGTTTTATGCAGCAGAAGTTCTATTGGCGCTTGAATATCTACATATGCTTGGTGTAGTGTACAGGGATTTAAAACCTGAAAATGTTCTTGTGCGTGACGATGGCCACATTATGCTTTCAGATTTTGACCTCTCCTTGAGATGTGCAGTTTCACCTACGCTCATAAGGATCTCATCTGATGATCCTTCTAAACGAGGAGCTGCATTTTGTGTGCAGCCAGCCTGTATTGAGCCCACAACTGTATGCATGCAGCCAGCATGCTTTCTTCCACGTTTATTTCCTCAAAAGAGCAAGAAAAAAACACCTAAGCCTCGAGCTGATTCTGGGTTTCAAGCTAATTCAATGCCTGAGCTAGTTGCGGAACCTACTTCAGCACGGTCAATGTCATTTGTTGGGACTCATGAATATTTGGCCCCCGAGATTATCAAGGGAGAAGGCCATGGCAGTGCAGTTGACTGGTGGACATTTGGTATTTTCCTTCATGAACTACTCTATGGAAAGACCCCTTTCAAGGGATCAGGAAACAGGGCAACTCTTTTCAATGTAGTTGGCCAACAACTTAAATTTCCAGATTCTCCTGCAACCAGTTATGCCAGCCGTGATCTGATACGTGGCTTGCTTGTTAAAGAGCCTCAAAACCGGCTTGGGGTGAAACGAGGAGCAACTGAGATCAAGCAACATCCTTTCTTTGAAGGTGTTAATTGGGCTCTAATACGTTGCAGTACACCACCTGAAGTGCCAAGACCCGTGGAGCCAGACTACCCTGCGAAGTACGGGCAAGTGAACCCTGTTGGGGTTGGCAATACCAGTAAAAGAGTGGTAGGGGCAGATGCAAAGTCTGGGGGTAAATATCTTGACTTTGAGTTCTTTTAGTTTTAGGAAATAGGATTCTTGTATCAGTAATATAACATTAGTTGATCCTTCAGCAGTCAGCACTGCTTTCTTCTAGTTATTATCATTTGTTCAATTGATGAACTGCAATACACAAGAACTGGGAAAAACTCACTGGCCAGTGGGTTGTGTGAGAAAGGTGAAACAAAATGCCTTGTTATTTCCATGTCTTAGGAGCTAGCCAAAGACTATAATGAAGAAGCATTTGGATATATAATACTCCCTCCGTACTTATTTACGCGAGTCTCGTTATATTTAGTTCTTCCAAATAAGATACTAATAATACACAATAGATAATGCATGATGTACTCCACAGAACGATCTCATAGATATATCTATTGCAACGATTATGTTCATCGGTATAAGCACTCTACTGAACGATCTCATAGATATATCTATTGCAATGATTATGTTCATCGGTACAATGTGTAGTTTTTTATAATAGCAATAACCAATAACTACGACAACAATTATATCAGGTGTAAATTGGAAAAGATAAATTATATACAAACTTTATTCTTATCTCGGTAGAGAGGTTATATTCGAAAGATCTACTTCAATTTGCCTAAAATTCTTAGGAGTTATTTGGTATGTGGGATGGGATAAACAAAAATTTTTTATGACTTGAAGTACTCCGTGAGTTTATTTAATCCACTTTTTTTATGAGATATTAATCCCGTCATTTTAATATAAATAATGAGATAAACTATTTCAAAATTAATTAATATCCTAAACTAAATATGAAATAAAGTTTTTTTCAAATTTTATTATTCTCACGCACATACCAAAGATTAAAAGTTTTTTTGATTATTTTTTTTAATTACGTGTAAAATCAATTTTTTATAATTTAAACACCCGCCCAATTATTACATGTATATACAAATTTAGACAACTATTCAGTACATGAAGTGATATATAGTTTTTCTTACAATTAATCCCCAAATTAACACTGTACCCTAAAACTTCCTCCGGCATCGACCACCAAACCCTCCGGCAAACTATCCGGCGTGGGCTTTCTTTCCAACTGAACCAACAGGCTGTCGTTGGAATCTGTTCGCTGCTCCTTCCTTTTCCCTTCTCTGGTAATGTTCTCTTTTTTTTAAAAATATGGTGCTTTCAATTTTCTCTTTCTTGCGTTTATTGAGTAAGAGAGGGAAGTATTTGTCTTCAGTTTTGTTTAGAGAATCGTTAACATTTATGTAAGATTATAATATTTGTGTTTGAAATCACAAAGAGCTGGCACAATCCTATCTTACTGCTTTGAGGAAGGACGATTTAAGCTTTTGGAGTGAATATTGAATAGCTAATTGTTAGTGCTATATGCATCTGAACTGAAGTTATGAAGAAATTTTCTGTCTTATTGATGTAGAAGTATTTAGAACTATCCGGTAATTTGCTAACTGGGTTTGAAATATTAAGAAGGAAGTGTATTTTCTTTGCTCAGTTAATCACTAACTCTATTCTTATCTTTTAGCTTGAATTAGTATTAACTTGATCGAATCAAACTCTACTTTAAGAACTACCGATATAACTTATTTTTTCTATTTAAATGTTATGTAATCAAATCTGATAGATAATGATATTTTGATGGTATTGTAGGTAAAGCAAATGAACAAGGGTAGAAACCGGTGAAGACTTTACTAAAGAATATTGGTTGATCATTGGCAAGAACTTTCATTATTTTTTAAAAACTTTGTTTCATTTTTTGGCCCCTGTTATTTTAATCTCTACCTTTTCTTCTTCTTTTCCTCTTTCTAATCTATAGCTTGGAGTTGCTAGTCAATAAAAAGGAGCCTCGCTGGCGACGGATCACCGCCCATTGGCCTATGGAACACCTTCTTCGGATTAATTTGGAGACCAACGATAACAACAATCCTCAAGCTAACTTACAAGCTCTCTCTCTCATCTCTAACCCTTCCACCTCTGACTCCACACTTTCATCCATTGCCAAAGTCTTAATCACCTCTCTGAAATACCCGAACCCTAAGTCTAATTCGCATCGTTTTATCCACCATCACATTCTCCGCCTCTTTTCTCTTCTTTTACATCGCTGTCCACATCTCCACCATAACCTCATCTCTGCCATCCGTGAATTCTCTCTCCTCCCTTCAACCTCCACAAGATTACTTGTTGATGCCCTCACATGTCTCTCCATCTCAGATAGTAACGTTAATGATGAATCAACATTCCTCTCTCTTGTTTTTCGTCCTTGTGTTTCTGTTCGTCATTGGTTACTTTTAAATGTGAGTAAATTTGACATACGGCCGTCGGTTTTGCTTACGGTTCTGCTAGGATTTACAAAGGACCCCTATCCGTGTATTCGAAATGTTGCTTTGAGTGGATTAGCTGATTTGTGTGAGTGCATTATTGTGGAAGATGAAAGTCTCATAAAAGGTTGCTATTTTCGAGCTGTTGAGCTTCTGTTTGATTCTGAGGACTTGGTACGATGTTCTGCAGTTCATGCGGTAAGATTTCCAAGTGCTAAATAAGTCCTATGTTTACATGTTACCACTTGAAATGTATGTATTATTCGTATGTCAGTAGGAAAGGTATAGAGAACCTATAGTGTTAAAGAATCCAAATTGTTTACTATTGGCATGAAACACGTGTAAATGGAGCGAAATGGATATTGAAGACTTATATGACAGAACCAAGTAAGTTTCGATAGCGGCATAATAGTAGTAGTAGTTGTTTGTAAGTGCCACTAACCTGATAAAAAAAATGTAATTGTTCTTATTACTTTAGGTTATGATGAGGCTATTGTTTTCTTTCTATTTTATATTTTATAAAGTATGATGAGGATTTAACTAGAAAGAGGTTATTTTGTGATTGAATATGAATTGTTCTTGGCCATTTTCAGTGGAACTTAACTATATATTCTTCTTGGGTTAATTTAGTTGCGTTTCTGAATTTTGGTTGTGTCTAGGAACTAGAAAAAAATAAGTGTTGTCAAGTACTGGTTCTTTTGTGCTAGAAATAAGTTGAGAGGGTTAAGTTGTAAGTTTTTGACAACTTAACTCTGATTTATAAAATTTCTTTGACCAAAGATTTTTGTGGGTTTTGCACTGATGAAAACCTGTTAGCATATAGTGTAAGTAAATGGTATGAATTATACTATTTTAATATTCTGCAATTAATACGTTGAAGTTTGATTTTTTTTTTTGAAATTGGTAACTTTTTACGTTGAAGGTTGATTTTTTGGTGTAAGGTTCTTCCTTTAGTATTGGGGGATGGTTGGGGCGAGACGGGTGTCTCTTGAATTAAAATTTCCTTTTTTATTCTGTGGCTGGAGAAATTGGGAAAAGCTCCTCATGCTCTAAGAGGTTGTTTGGTTTAGACACTGGGTATACAAGGATTAGTAATGTAGCGATTGCAATGCAGTGATTACTAATGCAAAGGATATAATGTACATATCTTCTTTTTTTGGAGGCTTAATTTGATATATTGCAATTTCATATTTTATAATTTAAATGTGTTTTGTTTTAAGGCAAAATAAAAGTTAAATATTTTTTAATCCGTACACCCCTATTACAAATACCTGCATTCCTATTCCATATTCTGTGCCGGATAAAAGATATATATATTCGTACATGACTTATGCAAGTATGATTTCGGAGAAAAAACAAAAGTAGCAAATCGAACATTGCATTAATAATGCTGGATTTCGTGTGGAGATTAGATCTCCTCTCTAGAATCTAGTTGGACAAAAAAAAGAGTTTTTAAAGTGGTTGTGTGATAACTTTTTCTTCTCCCTCATTCAAGATATTATGTAAATTAATATATTACTAGTGCAACCAAACAACCCATACAGGTTTCTTGCTGAAATAAATGTTGAAGTTGTTTTAAGAACACAGAGTTGCTGTCCAACCGGTTCATTTTTGTGGACGCTTAATCGTACAAAATGCTGCATTAAATTTTATCTGCTATAGGAAAATTATAGATCAAAGATTTTGATTTTCCTGCTTAGAGGACATTTATAGTCAATGACATTCATTTTACTCCTGTTGCTTATCCAGGTTAGTGCATGCGGGCAGTTGATTGTGGCATCTAAACAAGAAAGTAAAGGGGACTGGTCTGATGCATTATTTCTGCAGGTTTTTCTTCTTCTCCTCATCTGCCTAATTGGGTTTCACATGGAAGTCATCTCTGTTAATATCTCACCCTTGCTTTCCTGCACTTGAAAATGGGTATATGGTATTTACCTACATGGAAGAAAAGAAGGAAAACAAGAAGTAAAATTAATGATTATTTTTGATGTTTGTAGAGGTAGATGGCACCCAAATCGGGCTGCTGTAGAACAATCTACAAAATTTTATAGACTTAATATTCATAATGAGTCATTTGCATTTGCATTTGCTGAATTAGGTTCTGGAGGGGAGATCAGAAGAAACCATTGGAGATACTTCTCATATTAATTTAACAACAATGTTGCCATGAGGTGTCTGTGTCTTGGCATGAACATCTCGTGAATCATAATTGTTTGAAACTGAATTAGCCAGTGTGTACTCTCTCTCTCTCTCTCCCTTCTCATTTTTAGAATTTGTTTCAATTATACCTGGTAAATGCTTCAAATGCTTTAGAATAAGATGTTAAAAATAATTTTTTGATTTTGTTTTCGTGCAATGGCCATATAAACTATAATGCAAGATATCTTTTTGACTGACCTTTTTCATTCTACATGATATGCTTGCAGCTATGTTCAATGGTGAGAGATATGAGTGTCAAGGTCAGGGTTGAAGCTTTTAAGGCCATTGGGAAGATTGAAACTGTTTCTGAATATATTCTCTTACAAACACTATCTAAGAAAGCTTCATCTATAACAAAAGAAATGAATTTTCCTGGCCAGTACTCTGAGACATTGTTCAGGATACCAGCAGCGAGCGCTGTTCTTGCTTTTCTACATGGACTGGAGGATGAATTTGATGTGGTAACAATTTCTTCGTTTGACAAGTTCTGAGAGTCAATTATTATTTCTCTTTCTCTAATTTAAGAAACTTTTCAATAAGGAATATGCCATTATAACTCCCTTTTGTTTAATTGAAGGTAAGAGTATCTGCTTGTGGAGCTTTGCAATCTTTAGCAATCCATTCTGCTGATTTTTCTAATATGGTTGTGAACTTGTTGATGGGCATACTTAATGATGATTCAATGGCTGTAAAATTGCAAGCTTTAGATACTTTGCATCATTTGACAATGTTTCGCCTTTTGAAGGTTCAACAACCACATCTGCACATGGTAAATCTTTGATTTATATCTTGCTATCTCGTTCAAATTTTACACCTGGACCATATCTTGCTATATTGCTGCATGTAGCGCTTGTTTTCCAGCTTAATCCAACATGGTACAAACTTATTAACTGTTGTTGGGATAAACTGGTTAAAATTTCTTCTCGTCTTGATCATTCACTTCGCAGTCTGGTTAAGTTTTGATGTATCCCTTTCTTCATTTTGCTGTGCCCCTTCAGAGACCGGGAATTTGATGCTTTTCTCTTTTTCATTCAACTGCTATAGCTACTTAATAAGGAGAATGTTAACTACTGTAGTGTAGAAATATGTTATATTGTATTTGCTTCTACTTATAAGGAAAGTATTGACTATTGTAGTGTCTAAATATGTTACATTCTATTTGCTTTTGCTCATTTGAAAGGAAAGTCCACTGAGATTTCCTCTTGAACTTTTATTTTTTATCTTGCAGTTTCTTGGGATTCTACTAGACAGTTGCAGCTTGATAAGATGTAGAGCCAGGAAGGTACTAAAACTGACAGAACTGCCGAGCTTGGGTATGTTCAAAATGTGTGTTGATGGACTTATAAGAGATTTGGAATTGTATCCTCAGGTATGTTGCAGAAAGATTGTTTCACATTGCTATTCACTGAGCAGTTAAATCCAAAATCATGGTTAGGGTGCCAATTGCGATTGCCATTCAATATGAAGTTCAAAATTCTCAAAGGAATAGCAACCCATTTTATTCTTTCTGCTTCTCTCCTTGTTGGGAATTCAAACAAGAAGAGAATCCCATTTACTCTTTAAATTAACTCCCGCCAGAATTTTCCAATTTTTGGTAGCATGTTTTGATTTTCCATTTGCTAGGAGCAGCATTTTGGAAAGCACCCAAGTAATATCTATGGGGGGTGGATCTAGAGGGTCGGTTACGGGTTCACGCAAACCTAATAGCTTACAAACTTTGCCTGAACCCTATATATATATATATATATATATTTAGAAATATACTGAGTTTCTATGAATAGTTGACCTGAACACAATTATTATTGTAGTATCAACTTGAGTTCGTTGTGTGAACTTAGAAGCTTCAAATTTTGTATCCCCTCTAAGTCTCTATGCAGGTAGCCGATCCTAGACTTAATGGAGCTTGTCTGATTCTGAATCTAAGACACATGAGCGGTAACTCAATTTCATACAACCTTGAACCTCTCTTTCTTCTGTGACCTTCTCTACAAATTTAATGATTTTATTACAATAGTCTTGTCATCCCAGGTTTTTCCTTTTTCTTGAACAGTCATTGCAGATCATTTCCTTCATTTCACAGACATTACTCTTATATACCTTCCAAATAAATGAAATTTTGAAAGTCAAAACAGGAATACAGCTTATTGATATTCTTCCACCTTTTGCAAATACTACCTCTCCCTTTAGATGCCCGCTTCATATAGTTGCAACAATCACGCCTCAATCCCATATGAGTATGGGTTGGCCAAATGATTCCTCATTGACATGTTTCCTCGTTTAAATTCATCCAAGGCCAACACTGTAAAAAAAGATTGCCTGGTGTATGAAGCATCTCACATTTACGCAGGGTCTTGGGAAAGGCCGCACCTCAAAAGGGTTTAATTAGGCAACATACCTTGACTCAAACATCAGTGGCTAACTCCCAACTTGTGTTGGTGACATATAGGTAACATGGAGATAATTTTGCATGATCCAAGTTGGCCACTTGACATATTGAGTGGGAGGAACAAAGAGAAAACGATTAAACTTTGCAAGATTTCTTTATAGTGGTTTTTTACTTTTTTCCGTATTATTTGTTTTCTTTCTTTTTCTTTTTCTTCATGAATCTGGATTTACTGCACCACCACCACTTTCGATGGCACCATCTCCACCACAACTCCATCCATTCTTCATAACTACAACCCCCTCTTGTGAGTTCACATGTATATACTAAAATTCATTCAAAATAGAGATAGCCACATTCCTCCATCTCTCACCTTCAATCTAATTTAAACAGATTCCATAGGAACCACCACAAGTAATACACCCCTTCGTAAAATCATTTCCTTGATTACAAATTCAATCCCAAGAACGATACACATCAAAACTATACTAAAGAGTACTTAGATACAAAATACTATCCCTAAAAGTTAAAGAAGCACATCTAATTGTCGCAAAATTTCACAATTATAGGAGTCGTACCCCATATCTTCTTCAAATTGAAAGAATCAAAGCCAACACCCTTTCAACAGAAGAGTACTCATCTTATTTTTTAGAAGAGGAGGAGATATGATGGAGAAGGAGCCAGGAGTGGTGGCGGTTGGTAGTGTTGGGGTCAAATGAATGGCTATGATGTTTTAGTGATGGAGAAAAGGGTGAAGGAAGGTGGTTGTGGGATGGTGTGGGTGCACAACAAGGAAGAAGAAGAAGAAGGGTAGACAACTGGTTCTCAGATGCTTTTTATGCAATTTGACAGGAGAAACAAACAACCACCTTTTCTTGCATTGTAACTTTACCAAGCAAGTCTGGAATTTATTCCTTGGCATTTCAAATCTGAATTTGAAAATGCCAGAACATACATCAGAGTTGATAGAGAACTGGGTAAGGAGAGGAGGCAGCAAGAGTCAGAGGAGATGGTGGAGGTTAATACCATCGTGTATGTGGTGGTCAGCAGTGTTTTGGACGGCGAGAGGCGACAAAAGGCGACAAGGGCCTGCCTCGCCACGAGGCTCGCCACTCGCCTTTTGAATTAAGGCGCCAATTAATACCAAAATTAAAATTTTTAATTGCATATAAATATCCAAAATCTTAATAGCAATAACATATATTAACAAATATTTAAATTTAAAAACTAATAGTGAACAAAACACCGAGTGAGTGAACAATCCTGTTTCCTACCACACTGAAAACCGAGCACAATAGTGCGTAAAGTAGTGAAGAAGAAAATAATAAGAGAAGAAGAAGAAACATACATGGCAGCAGTCACGAAGCGGCGAAGGAGCAGTAGCCGCGAAGTCAGTTGAAGAAGATGGTCGCGAAGTCAGTTGAAGAAGAAGGTCACTAAGTCGGTGTTTGCAAAAAGGAGGCAAACACGAAGCGTTTGCGACTGAGGAGAAGAGGAGGCAATCGAAAATGTGGAATGTTCCCAAAAAACCCTAATTATGGCTTTTAATTATAAATCAGACCTTAAAAAGTTAAAAAAATAAAAAGGCGGCACCAGCCTTGTCGCAGAAAGTCGCCAAAGCGTGCCATAAGGTCGCCATTTTCATCCTCGCCTCGAGGCAAATAGGCGAAAGATGACTCGCCTCGCCTCACCTTATAGCCAAAGGCGAAAGGCGAGCGCCTTTCACAACATTGGTGGTCAGTTTGGAAGGAAAGGAATGATAGATGTTTTGAAAGTAGATCCAATTCCATAGTATCCTTACATTTTTTTTGTAAACAGTTGCGTATAGTAGATACAGACGAGATTGTAGTTTTGATAGGATGCTTGTAACTAACACTTTTTGGTGGTGACCAGCATGCCTTTAATGCTGAAGAATACAATCTTACCAATTTCAAAAAAAAAAAAAAGAAGAAATAATATGGGGTTAAGCGAGAGAGATTAGCAGAAGGAGGAGGGGGAATTGACATGAAAAGTTATCTTGGGTGCAGTCAAATAGTAAGAAAACTATGTCCTCAATAGCATCCCCACATACTTCATGTCACCGTACACTGCCTAGTTCAGTGTTGAAGCAGCTAGACTAACTAAGGTTTCTTATCGGAGGTTAAAAGTCTGACTCACAAGTTTTCATTGGTAAAGTGGATCAAGGTCACAAAGCCAAAAGCACAAGGAGGCATTGGAATCAGAAATTTGAGACTACACAACAAGAGCATGCTAATGAAATTGTTATGGAGATATGCTCATGAAGATACAACAATATATAGGACTGTAATTGATGCCAAGTTTGGAACCCACAGCCTGTGGTGTTCATGGATGCATATTAGTAGCCACCATATAGACTTCTTCAAGAATATCTCCTATTGAGTTGATCCTCTGAGTGGCCTTGGAAGCATGTCTGGAAGATAACACCTTCAAAGGTCACCTGTTTCACTTGAATTGCTTTTAGTGAAGCAACTCTAACCCAGGACAATCTCAATAGAAGACACATTGCCTTAGTCAACAGATGCTATATGTGCCTCCATGATTTAGAGTGTCAACCATCTGCTTTTACATTGCTCATTTGCAACGGATATCTAGAACTTTCTTCTTTCAATTTCTGGTCTACAGTGGGTGACTCTACATTCTATCAAGGATGCATTCACACGTTGAGTCTTTTTTGGAGAGCTGAGAAATCCATCAAGAAGATCCGGCGAATGATTCCAGCAGAAAATTTTGGTATGTACGGAATGAAAGGAAGCACAAGTGCTGCTTTATGGGATTTCAACTTCAATTCAGTCAGTAATATCTAGATGTCAAGTTCATTTGTCCAGTTGGTACTCAGTTCCCTTGTAAATAGTGGTTGACAATTTTTTGGACTTCGTTAGCTCCTTGGTTTTATTTTAGACTTTATTATGTTATGGAGCAGAGCTAATTAACTTTTGTATCTTCTTGCTCACATAACATCTGCCTGATGCTTTTTAAATGACAACTCTTTACTTCTTCAAAAAAAGATGGAAAATAAGAAAAAATATAAATAAAAGGGAATATGATCAATCATTGATTGATATGTGATTTACACCTTGTTAAAGTTGGGGTTGGTTGAGAAATGGGGTAATAATATCACTTGAAACTGGTTTGGGGGAATACAAGGACCCTCACGAAGTTCCAGTATCTCTTTGGAAAAAGGGTTCTATTTGGAGGGGATATGTACACCATTTCTTCTATACTTCTGCATAACTTTTTTAGGATAAGCAGATTTTTTTTTGAAATCCCAATTTGGGGATTTCATTTATGATATTTCCTTTTTATTTTTTAGTAAGATAGTTTATATGAAAAGCTAGGATACAATTGTTATCTAGTTATTTTTATGAATTTGCTGTTTTTTCTAAGATTTTAAAATCATTTTCAGGATGAAGCCGAAGTTTTTTCTGCTTTATTCATGATTGGTCAAAACCACGGAGAGTTTTTAGTCAGACTGATTAATGAAGCTTCCCAACTGGTAAGTACTGATCCCTGTATCGTCCTGTACATTACCTCTTTTTTTCAACATCTAGTACATTAGCCCATTTGATGGTTTTATGGACATTTCCATTTATTAGTATGCTGAGCTTCTTTATGCGTTTAAGATGTTATGAGTTCTATATGTTAGCCTTTTCAACAAATTGGCCAGACTTTTTAAATAAGTAATCATGTTGAACATGAGCATTTATATTTGTTTACTTTAGCAGTTTAGATTATATAATAGGATCTTCCTGTGCTGTCAGCTCATATCTTTCACTTTGTGAGTATTTCATTTAATTTGACTCCATTATATCTTCTATGTAGGATACACGTAACTAACAAAAGTGAAAAGTAAGTAAGGTTCTTTGGTAGGAGGAGTCTCATGCATGACCCTATCATATCACAATACATGTGTCTAGGTGAACAACTTATTTTGGGTGGTGAGAAATGTGCAATAGGTCATTTTAAAGGCCAGCATCTTAGACATTTTAACTGCACATGTAAGGAAATCGAAGAGCTTAGATGTTTTTGTCATGCATAGCTTTTCCAGTCAAAATTTAGGCTTTCTTTCTGGTGTTGTGAAATTTTGAAAATGCCCAATGTTAATCTCCTTGTTCTTTATATTTTGTCAATTTCACTTATACAAGTCTTTTCTGTCACCATCTAATATATGCACAGATAGAGCCCTCTTCTGGAGGCAAGTTGGGTTATGACAATGTGAGGAAAGCTTCATATCTAGTATTAGCCACCTCTGCTCCAGTATCAATGAAGCAGCAAACTTGCAGCATTCCACCAAGAATTTTCTCTTATGCAGTCACACTATTAGGGAGAGTCTCTCGCAGTTTCGCAGATATAGTTGACCAGAGAACATTTTTGGCTTATCTTTCTTGTTGCAGTAGATTCACATTTGTTTCTGCATCAGAGTTTTTTAAAATGGAAGAGCATCGTCTGTTACCTCATCAAAACAACAAAATGGAAGAGCATCCAGAGGAAGGTGATGTGCAATTGACACAAAGATGTGAAATCTCTGAATACGACATTTGGAGGAAATTACAACTGAAGGAAGCGGAAAGCTCGCTTTTGGACTTCCAGGTTGAGCATTGTAAAGAGAGAAATTGTGTGAATATCGTCCTTCAGGTGGTAATAGACATTTGGCCATCATTGAAACTTGGATTGATCAATGAAGTAACTTGCACACTGAGGTAGCAATTCTCTAGTAGCAATATGACCACCCTTGAATACAACTGTTATTTATTTTCTTTCATTTTATTGTTTTGAGTACTTGCAGGATCCTATTATAGTTTATAGACATAGTTTACTTCTTCTGCAATGGTTGGCAAATCTTTTCAGACGTATCTTGCTTGTTGTCAGTTGTAAATTTTAGGTATATTCCTGTCAAGTTATCAAATACTATGTCTGTTGCTAATGTTACTCAACTGTATGGTTTATGCAGGAGTTTGAAGGCAGAATTGGGAACGAGATCAGATCACAATCATAGGGGTGAGTTAGTGTTTGCTTTGCAATATATAGATGCCTTGGAACAACTTGGACACTTGTGGCATCACTTGGTGTTTTCCAAGGAGTTTTACTTCCATAAATGGGGGAAATTGGAGTGTTCTTTGAAAAAACTGGACAGATGCCTGAGGGACATGAGATATAAGTTAATAGGTTTAACCAAAAAGGACAATTTTCTTATCTTAGAGTTAATAATTGCAAACAGTATACTGACGCTTTGTAATATGGAAGCCTGTGCGAATACTCTAAAGAAGTTACAGTCTGTCATGTCTTGTATTGAACATATTTGTGGAGAAGGATCCACTGAATCATCCAATTTTGTGGTTGAAGTTCAGAAGTCGTTGAGTGAGATTGACACCTCTAGTTGTTCAATCTTGGACAATCCATATCTCCTTCTGAAGTCTCTAGAGCATTTCACTCCAAGAATGGTAGTTTCGTCAGGGAATCTCAAATATATGGAAGCTGAACTGCAGTGTCAAGGCAATGAATTTCAAAATCCTCTTCCTTTCATCTCTGGGCTGCCTGTTGGTTTATCTTTAGACATCAAACTCAATAACATCTCGAACGAGAGTAGGTTATGGATAAAAATGAGGTGTGAAGAGAAACTAACTCAGTTTGTTTTCCTTGATTTGCATGAGATCGAAGGAGACGATGAAGTGAGGAAATTCACATTTGTTGCACCTTTCTACCAAACCCCCAAGGCAAACTGTTTCTCATTGAAGATCTGTATTGTTCTAGAGTGCATATCTGACAGTGATCAGTTGTTCAGGGGCTACGGAGGTCCTAAGCATGAAGTTGTTCATCTTTGTGAAGAAAAAGCAGTGTATTTTTCCGTTCAAGTCAGGTAATTGTGTTCCAGTTTGATCAAGTGTGATCCAAAGACGGCTATAGTTTTCTAAATTATGGTGCTCATTGTCAAATACTGGTACAATCAGTTGCTGGATTTATAAAGTTTTCTCCTTATGAAGTAGTGATGACCATGGACTACCTACCCATAGAACCAAGAGTTCTAAGCGAGTAGAGCGATGAGTGTTTCATTTTTAGCAGGTTGCAGATCTGGAGTAGGAGTAGCAAGGCACTACCAAGGAATTTAGTGAAGTGCAGAACTTAAACTGGTATTCATTTTGATCATCTTGGTATCGAGTACATTGTTCTGAGAGTTTTAGCTATTGAAGGATCCCATGTTGTATAGTGTATACATGAAGTTGAAACTGGTATGTAGCTTTTTCAGAATGGATAGATTATGAGATGAGTTTTGTAAAGGAAAAAGAACAAGAAATTATAGTGCAGCTCCAATATTTGTCCAATAGAACTTTTGCTAGTGAGCTTTGTGCCTGATACTCTTAAATTACACTCCATCCTATCTCAATTTAAGTGAACCAATTGGATTACCACATAGTTTAAGAAAGAAGAAAGATTTTCAAAACTTATGATGTCTAACATGTCAAAAGCATAGGTGTTATAACACTTTTGAAAATTGTAGTTTAAATATTTCTTGTCGTTGGTATAACAATAAATACAGAAAATTGCTTCTGTATTTAGAATAGGATCATTAAATTATTCCAAAATTTAGATTATGATGTTGATTGGTGAAGGGATCAGTGATTTGCTTATTTGAACTTGAACAATTTTTACTTCATGCACTATTTTTGAGGTCGAGTTAGATTCAAATTACATCTCAATTCATTTAGCTCAACTCATGTTACTATTGTATTAAAATTAACGTCACACTACATGATTGAACATTTTGCTATTTCCATGTTTTAAGAGCTAGCCAAGACTAGTTTTTAGTGAAGAAGCATTTGACAATAATGTTACATAGCTCATATATAGTGAAAGGAAAACTATAGTAACCTTGGATCATATCGATGGAGGGTATGTGTGACAATAATGAATTAAGAGGTCATTAGATAATATGAAGTTTCGAAAGCATACACATATTTTATTCTTATCTCATGGAGATAGAGGGACTAATTCCAAAAAAAAATTCGATACAAGTATTTCATATCAAAACAGATTTAAAAAGAAAAAGAAAATAAAAATTAACATCAAGATATGGGAAAAATATTCTAAAGTATATATAAAAATTTAAAAAACAAATAAACACATAATTAGCAAAACACAAAAACCATCATTAATACTACTGAAAAACAAAGAGAAACCTATCTCACTGATAAAACCCAACATTATTATCAAATGTTTTATTATAAAACAAGATTCTTACATATCCTTCAGATCTCGAAGCCTCCTATGAGTAAAAATCAACTATTTTCTTTTTTTTAAAAAAAGGGATAAAGAAAGGAGTAGAAAAAAAATAAAAATAAAACAAATATCTTGAATCGAGCATTGGCTTTGAGCCCCACGGCCATATTTGCTTTTATTTGGTCCATTTCTCCATTCATTATTTTTTTGTTATACAACTTTTATCTTGGGCCCCAAACTCCACTTGGAATAATCTAAAAGAATTACGTAACTAAGCAAATATTTACGCGAATAGAGTAGGATAAGATTTGCATTTCTATATTTTATCGTAGTCAGACTTTATTTATGAGGTTATACTTCAAAAGTTTTAAGTAAGACAAAAGGATTACGAAGTGATATCGAAAAATTAAAGTGAAAGTTCAGCTAGCTAATTAAGAGATAACACTAGGTAATCAGAGTGAAACTTTAGTTAGCTAATTAAGAGATTACACTAAGTAATTGGTTATTGCTATAAAAATAATGGTATAAAGACTGACATTTATATAGCTTAAAATACAAATTTTGAGATTAACTTATTTGTAAAAAAAATAATATAATAATGAATTGTGATAAAGGAAATACAACTACTTATTACTCTTGACTTGAAAGTAATACTACTATTCAAAAGGTTTGATAATGAAACAGAAAAAACTTGAAATCCCTGTACTTTTAGGAGTGGTTTGGCACTACAATAATTTCAAGAAGAAAATATAAAATTATTTTACTGTGTCTAATCGAAGGTATTAGACAATCTTGAAATTATTTATCTCATCATTTATATTTTTAGTGATATATTCATATTTTAATTATGGAGATAAGTTATTCTATATTATCTCAATATCTCAAAATAATTAATTTTGATATAACTTGATCCCAACTAAACGACCGATAATCACAGTAACTCATCAAGTGTTTTTCTTTTCCTTTTTCCCAAAAATAAAAATAAAAAATTGTTGGTCCAAACATTATGCTTTTCTCACTTCTTTATTTTATTATATTTGGGTTCATTGGTTTTAGTAAATTGCTACTCTGTGTCACTGTGAGCTTCAGTTCAGTAAGACTCAGCAATGACTATAGGCACCAGATCCAAGAAATATTTAACAAATAAATATCAGAAAATAATAGAACCCCATTATAAAATGAAGTAATAATAGTAATATATATATATTTTTTATAAAAAACAAGATGACAAATATATGAACAAACAATTCACACGTTGCTGTTACACTTTAGTTTAGATTACCAACTTAGTAGGCGGATTTCAAGGGGGAACACCCAAAAAAAATCATGTCTATCTGACATCAACATCATATCTTCACATATACTTGCATTTTAATAATTAAACTTCACTACCAAGAGTAGTCTGATGTGGTAGAAATTTTAAATTCGAATCTTGATAATGAAAAAATTAGAAAAAACCTATAGTATTTGGTATTAAGGGAAATGTTCCATAAAAAATATCTTACTTGAAAAATAAGAAGATTTCCTGCTTATTTTCTAATGTTTGGCAAGTAAGTAAAAAAATAAAAATATTATCTAACAAAACACTATGAGGTAAATGGATACGAGTTGAGGACGTTAGGTAGGTGGGAAAGAGACTAATGATAACGAATTTTGAATGTGACTTGCGAAATTCATTTTCTTTACTTTCATTAGTAAAGTCATTTTTGAGAAAAAATATTTTTTAGAATATTTCGACTAACCAAACACAAAAAAAATTGGACCAAAAGACACCTTAATATTCAACTGATTTTCTTCTTGTCTCTTACCTTTGCATAATACCCATCCAACAGGCCACCAGCACAGTAAACAGTGGAAAGTGTAACTGAAAAGTAGGTTAGTCATACCTGCTAGCTGCTAACCATCTGTCAGTTTTTGTCATCATATTAGAGAGAAACATATATCTGAATCTTAATATTAGCTTTAACCTGCATGCACATGCAAAGACAGTAGTGAAAGGATCATTTTCTGCATTATAGAGTCCATTGATCCAGTTATTACATGTGTATCTGAAGGTAAAGTATAACAAAAAGAGCCAAAAGGGTATCTTCTTACAGCCTAATAATGACTAAAGGGGGAGAAAGAACAGAAGAAATTTCATCATTTTGTGTAGAATTATTATGAATATGAAAAATAGATATCAAGGGGACCCAAATCAAGACTTTCTTGTCTTTACTCTAAAGCTTTAAGCTTTAAGTGTAAACAAAAGAACCCCACAAGGAGATTATAATAAAGCTTTTGGTAAACTCCCTGATTTGTGGTCAATTAGAAAAAAAAAAAAAAGAAGATAAAGAGACACTGAAATGCTACAGTAAAGTGGAGAAAAGAACATTACATTATTCACTTGCACTGCTGTTTCAGCAGCAGTCTTCAACCAGAACTCAGATTTGAACTGCAATCGTCACATAAGCCAATGAGCAAAAGCACCAATGAACCTGTCTAATGTTCTCAAAATTAGGCCATGTAATACATACTACAAAAGAGACAGAACAGTAAGAATATCTTTCCACTTAGAAGGGAATACATTTATTCATCTGCTGAGAATGTTGACCTCAATGCAATAATGCAAATAATTTGCTATACATACAGAAAATATTCCTCTTCCCACCACTAGATAAAAGTACAAAACTGAAAAAAAATTCCACATATCTACAACATAGCAAAAAATCAAGGGAAAAAGCCAACTAGCTGAAAGGAGCCTATGACCAAAAATGCGCCCTCTCTCTTTCATCCTTGCCCGGAACGAAAGTAAGAATAGCCAAATAAAAAAAAAGGAAAACAAGTACTAGTATTCAGTTATCTGTAAGTTGTTTCCTACTTAATAGAATAAGAACGGGTGCATACAGCCTCAAGGGCCTCTGTCATCAAGGAAGAAAAGCTGGTCATAGCTTGGAAAACTCCCGGAAGCCCTGTTTGAATGTTGTTCAGAGTCATTGCTCTGGTTACCTCCACTGCTTTAGAATGCTTCACCATCTCATCTTCCACACGCCGTTGGCTAGCTGCAAGCTCAGCCTTTTTCTCAGCAAGAGGGTCTCGTACATCTAAAATATTACCATTATCAGGTCCCCCATCAGGAAGTCCAATGCCAACCATGGAGAATGAATTGTAATACTTCCTTTCAATGTTCCTGACACTCGAAGCCTTTTTCTCAAGCTCCTTTGATGCAGATTCAGTCCGCTTTTTGATCTTCAACTCCTCCGTTTGTTTCACATATATCGAATGAACAACATTTATGAAGCTTTTGATAGCTTCTGATGCAACAGTGTCAGGAATACGGTCAAGTGCTAGCTTCCACTCATCGCAAAACATAAAAGAATCTGAGAACTCCCTGTTGCCATTAGTTGGCTCAGTATTGACAGATACAAGGGTGAGCTTGAACCAACCATGAAGGGATCGGATAAAGTCCCTTTGAAATTTTATCAGGCGACAATAACTCGAGTGCCATGCAGATACAGCAGACTCAAGGTCACGAGTTGCCTGCCGGTGTAGGTCAGATGTCGATTGACCTTTAATTTCTCTGTTGATGAGGCCACGCACCTGCTGCACAATGTCATTCTGAACTTGATGGAACTGGTTCATGGATTTCCACATGTACATAAATCTGCATCAGTTTATACCAATATCAGTTGAGGACTAGTCAGGGGTATAACTTAGAAAATAGTAAACACTTTATTATCTTAGTGATTGCCAAAATTCCAGATTGAGCTTTATCAATACTGATAGGCCTAAGAACCATCACTATATTTAGCCATCAATTACACATATCAAAGCACAAGAGATATTCCAAATATCCAAAAATAGTGAATCCATCATGGCCACAATCTTGTCAGACTCTAGAAAGATGCTCCATGGACATTCTTTCATGGTCAGGAAGACAAAAGTCGAACATTTAAAGATCCATAAGTTCTCAACTACCCACTGAAACAGACAAATATTAACACCAACACATTTTACATGTGAGAGCATGACTTTAGGTAAGATCAATATCAGGTAGGATATGTTGAAACTATTTCAATTGCAAGGAAAAAAGTCTTGAGACAGCACACAATTACATGGGTGATTTAGGTTCTGCAAACGATTTCCAAAAGAAAAGAATA